TTAATCGGCGATCATATAAATAACTTGGAGGAAATTGCTTTCGATATCGCGGAAATAATTACATAATCGTTCGCACACATGCAATTATATGAAATTATTACCAGGCGAAAATCGATTCTCTGATTGTCCGGTTTTAATTAAAATTCGGTAATACGTTACAGGTAGTAAAAAGACCAATAATTCGCTACGTTTTAAATATTACAATAAAATTGTCGATATTGAAGAGCGATCAACGATAACCATCACTGTTATTACTTTCACGCAGGAAACAATAATTCTACCACTAGTTTCAAACAATTTCAGTTCGTTAACGACCTGCTATAATTTGCGAAACGGTCGATTATGTCGTCGATAGCGAGTCCACGCTGTCTCACCAGTATATAGAACCGTTTTAAATCGTCTTCGACAAAATTGTCTCTCTGTGTGCTCGCGACCTCTTAATTCACAGCGAATTGTAAATCCTTCCTTCCTTCTTCGCAGATACGCGTGAATAATTAAGTGGAATTAAAGTCGGAGAACTTACCAAGGTATAGGTACCTTTATTTATCGAGCTCCTCGACCCGGTTTCCCTTCGGCCAGATTCGCAGCAGGTGCTGGATTACGAGCAACGTAATTTTAGTAGCCAAAATTGTCGTCCTTCCACTCGTACAAATTCAAAATCACGGTTGATTACTCATCGCCAAGAATAATTCGAGGGACGCGAGCCGATCCTACGAGAGATTAAGTTTTATCAATTTTAACGAGCTTTATTCGAAGATCATGGAACGTAGAATGTAGGTCGTGCGAATTGCCATTAGCGTTCGGCGTATCACACGCTGGCAAACAATTGTCATAGAAAATTTCTTTTCCCCTCGAATTCAGATAATCGTCTCCGCTGCTACATACGCGAATTACGGGCATATCACGTATCGCTTTTCCGTTCGATGTTCATATTTCGTAGAGCGAAGCGGAAATCAAAGGTCTGATCCCGCAAATCTGCGCCGTTCTATCAGACTTTGGATCGCGCTCTACCGTGAACTTTCAAATTACAGACTGATTACTCGTCAGCCATTCCGATTTTGTCTCGGAACATTGAATCGGCCGCTGGAAACGCTGATTTAATTAGAACAGAAACTCGCAGGATTACAGGATGCTTCGCATTAAGCGTCTTTTAAAAATAACCGAATACCATCGTTGCTTATTCGAATTGTTTTCCTCTTTCTTTCTGCTTCCAGAGTAATTTCATTTTATATTTACTCGGATGAAAATTGTGCCGCGCGATGTAATCCCATTGAATATATGTATACGATATAATTTGAACGTAATCACGTTGCCTCGCGTATAAGTAAGATAATGATGATTGATGTTAAACGTATTATCACGTTAGCCTGGATCTGGCTGAAAGTGTGATCTTCGTTCTATGCGATTTTGGTATTACGTACTTGCAGTGTTATAGAAAAATATCGATGAATATCGGACGTACCGTAATGTCAGTTGTGAAATTTCATCGTCAAAGACGACAAGCTTTGTTACTCGTTATTTTTGTCATTTATTACGGCTAATAGAGAAATTAATTTCGTCGAATGTTCCGCTACAAAATGTACTCAACTTCAAGATCAGTCTTACCGATAATATTCATCGTTTGATCGGTTACAAATCTGTGCCAAAGTTCAGTGTAGGGTACATCGCCACGTCAGCCACGAAACATCAAACGAAGGAACCAATTTTTATTCGAAGGATTCCATATACGCACAAAGTCTAATTTTTCCTTTTGCACGTCATCCTCGTTAACACATTTGCATTGCGTATAATACTTGATACGATGGTAGGACTCGTCGCTTCGCTATATGCTTGCGAAAATGAACTTGCTTCGAATTCCTTCGTAAACGCTGTTTGATTCGAATAAAACATTCATAAAGCAGATCGTACCGAGTCCGAAATACCTGCGAACGTTATTGCGAACATTTTGCGTCCGCAGGATCGTTTGGCGCGAAATTGCGAATGGTAAATGAGGTAGTTGCAGTGGCTCAGAAATGGATCCCGTATCGAACATTACGACTTTATCGTAAAATCACATTTCCCTATGTCCCACCTATGCGTACAGGGTGTTCGTTAGAGAACTTCACGATGAATTTTCTGGAATGGTACGCGTCCTAGGAAGAAGATATTCGGAAGGAAAGTATCGCGATTTCCAGATGGAAATCTAAATACGCTCCACGTTTTTCATCTCTTCGAAGCTTCCAACCTAACGCGTACTTTTCGACATCGAACGTGAAATTTTCAAACGGACACCCTGTATATATATATCTTCTATCTTGGAATTCATATAAGTGTGCGGACACTTAGTATAGTAAGTACGGGCGCAAATCGACCATTCACGCGGAATGGAAGCCATTTTCAGCGGAAGACTCTCAGATTCGGGTTTGCGATGTAAAGCGATTTTATGGCTGATACGCGGCCGATAAATCTTCAAGATACGAGCGAAATAGAATGAAGTTATCGTGCCTGACACCGCCAACCGCTAATTTAATTGGCTAACTCGGTCAGGAGTCATTATCGACATTCCGGAGGAGTAAACCGGACTTAACCAGTCGCAGACTCCACTCGAGTCAGGCATATTTCAATGAATTAATTAAACGAGATGCGTAATAAATACACCTATTTTTCGTAAACGTCGATCAGAAATTTTAACGCGTGATATTTTCGTAAAAAGTATATTTAGAAATCGTATTTTCTTATTAATGAATATGTACGATGAAAGGAACAAGTTTATTTGGAAAATTGAAAAAGGAGACAATTTAAAACTTAGATTATTAGTGAAATATTTCAATATTTTTTCTTCTCTTCTGAATCGAGGTTCGATTTTTAAACGTGGAAATTTTATTCACATTTAACGATTAAATATTCGCGTCACGTGTTCCTCATAATCTGAAAGTGTAGTCTCGAATGAAACGACAAATTTACGAGTAACGCGCTACAGTCAAATAGGTAATTTCTATCTAAATATTCGTAATCGTTCGAGTATTTAAAATATTCCTTTGAATCTAAACTTTATCTAAATTTAACAAGTTAACATTTATGTCACGGAGATAAACGCGTAAAGATAAACGTAAAATAAAAAGAATTCTGGAATTACAAAATGTATGATTACGCATAGGTAGTAACTGAACATTACGCCTACACTGTAAAAATGTCGTAGTTTATTAATTAATAAACTGCTGTCAAAGGTTACGGGTTATTCTGAAATAAATATCGCCATAAAACAAGTACCGTAGTTAATAAACTGTATCAAAAATTTTGTTGAGGTTTAGAAGCAAATAAATGCTTGAGATAATTAATATTTCCAATTAAATTTTCGGAGTCTAACGTCACTCTATGATCCTGCAGGAAAATTTTAATACAACGTGCTCGAAGATGAAGAACAGTTCGGAATAAAACCAGTTGTACTGGGTTGGCAACTATGTGATTGCGGATTTTATCATTACCACCTAATGACAAAATCCGCAATCACTTAGTTGCCAGGCCAATAGAAACGTTCGAGTACTTTTGTGCCACTGTGTGTGGAGCCTGTCCCAGTCAGTGATTTGCTTCTAATTATCACATTATCCTATTCGAAAACATCAATTTTATTATCATTTGTTTTACTTAAGGTTCTACTATTTTGCACGGCGATTAACAAAATGCGTAACGAAAATATATAAAAAGCGAAACGTAAAATACAGCAAGGCAAGTTACAATCTCAAATGATAGTATTTATACGTGCTGAACATATATCGTATGCAGTACAATGCAGTACGATTAACCTAAACTTACATTAATATCATACAGTGTACTTAGAGCTAACAAGGTAGCTTACAATATCATAATCGCTGATACAAGTTAATACGTTTGAGAAAATGAGGAAGATCTTCTTCCCTTTTCTATTTATTTATTTTTTTTTTTTTTTTTTTTTTTTTTTTTTTTTTTTTTTTTTTTTTTTTTTTTTTTTTTTTTTTTTTTTTTTTTTTTTTTTTTTTTTTTTTTTTTTTTTTTTTTTTTTTTTTTTTTTTTTTTTTTTTTTTTTTTTTTTTTTTTTTTTTTTTTTTTTTTTTTTTTTTTTTTTTTTTTTTTTTTTTTTTTTTTTTTTTTTTTTTTTTTTTTTTTTTTTTTTTTTTTTTTTTTTTTTTTTTTTTTTTTTTTTTTTTTTTTTTTTTTTTTTTTTTTTTTTTTTTTTTTTTTTTTTTTTTTTTTTTTTTTTTTTTTTTTTTTTTTTTTTTTTTTTTTTTTTTTTTTTTTTTTTTTTTTTTTTTTTTTTTTTTTTTTTTTTTTTTTTTTTTTTTTTTTTTTTTTTTTTTTTTTTTTTTTTTTTTTTTTTTTTTTTTTTTTTTGGTTGTGTCCAATCCTCAGTCTGGCGAGAATAATTCGCTCTTTCGCGTTAAATAAAAATGCTGGACATTTGTCAAATACATTTAGATGTACGTTTATGTGTCTACGTGTAGGCGCGTTTCTCGAAAAATCAATTTGACAACACAAACTACGGATACATATCGGGAATATATCGTGCAGAGCGTGCTAGGAATGACAAAAGTTGCAGTTACGCCAAGAGGAAGCATTTACACTTTGCCAATATTTGACTACAAGACTCCTGGACAATACAACGCGACGTTAGAAGCGACGAAACAAGGACTCGACGCTCCTTTATCCTTGCTCACTGTCAAGCTCTGAAAACGATAAATAACAAACTTTAATATTAATCGCAAACAAAGAAAATAATATTACCCAAGAAACAACGTTACCATGAACTTTAGGAATACAGCGGGCAAACTTCACCGCTAATTTTAATCGTGTCACCTAACTTTGAATGCTATCAACAGAACGCAACACCGTCTCGATGATGAATCTGACCGCTAAGATTATCTCGACTTCGCACAAGTGAAAAACGACGTCTACGATCGCCAAGCCTGGTAGAAACGAGTTTGGCGCTATGAAAATAGCAGGCCAATTGAATTACGTTTCGCGCTAACTGAAAGTGGTCCTTTCAGAAAACAGGAGGCCTCGAACTCCGACTCGAAGAGCAGACGATGGAGCAAAAGGGCGTTTCAGAGGAGAAGCAGCGAGGTGGAGGTTCGTTTGCATCGCACCTCTTTCACAGGATCCCAAGGACACTCGAGCGTCGATGGTCCAAAGTCGCCGACTCCATCGAGACGTCGTAGCTCTAGCATAGCGGTAGCCAGGCCGACTCCTGACTTGCACAGGTACGCGTCTAAAGCGATAAGTTCCTTTGGCTACGTTACTCGTTGGCAGAAAAGTTTTCCTGGTTAGAAAGTTCGGGATCGAGATTGCCAACTTGGCGTTTTTTACACCCAAATTCTGGAAATCTGGCTTCTCTTCAACTTCATTGGCGCTGAGAAATTTTGCTTGCCTCTTTTTTCCAATCCTTTGGAACATTTCTTCTTTTTTTTTTTTTGATAATTTCATTGGTTACAATTGCAAAGCTAATTTCTTTTTGCCATGAATATGAATAATAACGACGTAGCAGATATTAGCTACATTTGCCCTCACTACTTGTCTAATAGCCTCGCTAAGCGACGCTACAGCTGAGAGGGTTTTTTTTCTCTTGTATACTTCGTTAAAACAGAAGCAAGAAACGGGATGCAGTTGAAACTTCTCGATACCATTATAAGAATTAGGGCAGAACTTTTACTCTGAAACAAGCGACGCAAAGATTTTGTCGTATCTGAACAAACGCTTGACAATTCAACCACAAAGAAAGTTTACGAATGTAATTTCAACGAAGAGAACCTGGACTTCAAACTTCTCGCAATTTAATTACAAAAAATATATTTCGATACGTTTGCCTTGCTCCTGTCTATTTTTTTTTTCTTTTTAGCATTGTTTGGCTGAAACCTGAGAGTTCAAGTTGGCAATCTTACTCGGGATCTGTAAAGACGAATTGTATTAATTGCACGACCTGTTCTAAAGACGATATCTCGATGGCTCGTTAGAGAAATATTCGCTCGTTCGCTTTTTGTGAAATTTGACTCCTCGTTTACGACGAATAGCTCTCGATCGTTTCTTTACGCTATGTAAAAATCACGTTTACATCTACTTGAGAAAATTCCTGAAAAATATTAATCTTGTTTACGTTTTTAAATAAATCGCCTTTTTTTAAATCTGTTGACTTATTCGTGCGTGTGATGTATCGGTAGAACATTCGTGGGAAATATTCAAATTCGCATGAAAAATTTCTTCGGTGCCCGAGGGCTTAATACGAATGTTCATCGGTATATTAAAAGAGCTACCTTTTCTGCTAGAAAGAGCATAAATAAATTACCAAGTTTACAATATAAGTTTTAGTTACAAAATTATTATCGCGTAGGGCTTTGAATTCCGGATCGGAGTTGAGCAAACATTGTTGGAAAATGGGCTAAAATGGGGATGGACAGGTTTTGCGTGTTGGTAATGGCCAATCTTTTGACGATGTCACTGTGAACGTAATAAAATCTTTCGGAAATTATGAATTTTATTCAACTCGCTGTAATTGCAGTTTTGTTTAATTCATTTACAATATCTTGTTTATGAAAACGGTATTATACGTAATCGTTCACCCCTCTTTTTCCAGTCTAAAAATTATAAATCGACGATTGTTATAAATAAATTAATTATGCATTAACGCGTTCTTTGATATATTGAAGGAATGCACAAAAGAGAAAATATATAAAATAACATACTATACCGTTTCAGTTGTGCTTCTTTTATTTTCAGATTATCATTCAATGAATTATTTCGCCTAATAATTTAACAAATAATTCATTGGCATAATTTGTTCAGCAATTATTTAAATGGAATCAACTCATCCAATAAAATATTATTAATATCGATAAGTCCATTAATATTTAATCGTAGTAAACATAAAATCTGATAAATATTGATACTGTTTATTATTTAATTTCATTGCCTTTATGTATAAAATTTTAAATAATGAGTAGTTTCTACGTGAGAAATAATAATAACACGATATAGATATCGACGATTTTTTTAAATAAAATATGTTACGTTTATGTCTAAGAGAATGTTTTAAATAACCTTTTCTATTTACTTTCCATTTTTGTTTTTTCTTTTTTCTTTTCTTTTTTTTTCTTTTTTGGAGGAAACTAGTTGGCCCTTTTTTACACCACAGTATCATACAGTTAAGTTTCTGCATCTAAATATTCTTCTGTTCAGTTCTGTTTTTAATCTGAACTTTTTATACGGCTGCGTCTTTGCAATCGCTCGTGTAATTACTTTCTTAATTACTTTCAACTTTGAAAACTTTCAAATTATCCGAAACTCTTTAAAGCTACTCGCGGCTTTTTATATCATTATACATTGACCTGTTTATACAAAATAACCGAAATAGGAATTTTGATTTTCTCCGCGAAACATTAATTTACAGCACTATACTAGTGGCTGTATGAAAAGTTGATACGTAACAAGAATCGAAAGAATTTTTTACGTATTATTATTCCCAATTTGGCGTACAATATATTGTAGCCTAAAATCCAATTTTTTTTATCGTAGATTGTATACGAATTTGGCTATTGAATCCTAATAAAAATTGCAGATAGAATTTATAACTGTACCAAAGAAAACTTCATCGAATTCCATTTAATATCACGTCAAGTAGTTTAAAATAAATAGTTTAAAACTAACATATAACATATTTAAGCAGTGAAAAATCCTCAACAATACAAATACACGTAGATACGTACAATGACCACAAGAAGTAGATATTTGCACGTACAATGCTGTTACTTTCTACTTGTTAGAAACTCTAGTTAGATTTTCACTGGTTTCGACAGTACGCGCGGTATACGAAGTTAGAAATTCGCTAAATTTAGCTCTTTAATCCTTAGACAAAATTCAGGACGAGCGAATCACACAGCCTTCTGCGTACAGTCCGACCTTAAGGAAAAATATCCTGTCACGTTACCGTAGGTTACGATTTTCTGCAACAACGCTAGGAAAAATGGCACCGTGTGATCGCTGATAGAGCAAAACACTGTTGTCACAAACATATGCGAATTAGTAATTTGCGCTCGAATAATTGAAAACGTTGCCAATAAAGCAAAATAACAGTATTTAAAATTTCTCTGTATTGTTAATCGTATTGCAGCAACTACTTGCTTCCTTCTCTGTTCATTTATCGTATTTCTTTCGGTATCAACGGAGTAGAAACATTCTTTATTTTCCGTCATCATGCTGCGTAAAGATATTTTTCTATCGCTTCTGCTTTCTCATTATCATCTAAATGCAATAACTTACACCTATCTTACTATCGAAACCTACAAGTAAAATCTCTCATTAAATTCTCCTCGCCCCAACAATAGGTTTCTACAAGCAGAAACCGGCCCTTGGGGTCATTTATCGCCCTCACCGAGGAGTCCCACAAGAACCCCGGCCATAAGTCCTGGAACAGCGTCCTCTTCGTCTCACTTGAGTCCAGGCACGAGCCCAGGTGGACCAAGTCCAACTAGCCCAGCTGGTACAGCTGGTTCAGCGTCAGGATCCCGAGCTCCAGGACCGAAGCAATATCGCGGAAGGACCAGCAGTATGCCGGCGGTTCCACGACACAGAGTGAGTCGTTACTTACAATCGTCATATTTTCTAATGAAACGATCTTCTTTTCTTTTTTTTTTTTCTTTTTTTCTCTTATCAAATTCCACGCGTTTCATCTTCGCGGTATTAAATGTCCGTAGTTACGTGACGATATTACCAAACTCTACACGGAGCTTAATATACAGTTGATAGAGCCTTCGATATGCCAATTAACAGGGAAGCTATTTGATGGAACTTTCCAATACTAGAACAATCACTTTCCTGATATTAACTTTCATTCGTTCAAACAGAGATCAAAGAGATGGTGAATTTGCTTTAACATCGGAGGGCTCCCTACCTTTTTGATAGGGCGCCAAACTATAGAAATTGTCGACGCGAGAGGGTCTATTACATTCCCTTTTTCCATTCGCCGTTTATGCTCTAACGCGTACGACGATGCTAACGTTGGTCGAAAAGAATCATCGCTTTGTAAGAATGTAAACGTAGTCCATTAGACGCGGCGATACGTCCACGCGGTGTACAGTCTGTAGAGGACTACGTAGAGGATAGTTGATCGTGAGATTTATAACGGATATCTCTGTAGATCGTTGTCTCGATGGAAAAATGAAAAAAAAAAATTTTATTCTATATTTTCGACTTCTTTTTTCGCGTAGAATCACCCACTTTCCGCTTGTACTACCAGTTACCAACCACCCTATATACTCGCTGATTAGATCGCTGATAGATACTCGATGGATACTCGTAGATACTCGTCGATAACTGCTAGATACTGTAATCCTTACAATCGCATCTGTTTATTTATACTGGTCGGGGGAGAGTCGGAAAATTCACATTTGTCTGTGTTCGAGGGTTGCACGTAGCGGCGACATTGTTTTTCCCGGAGTTTATTTATTACTACATTACGTGTTTTCTAACGATATTGATACTCCGAGGCAAAACAACATGATTTGATTCGTCCTCTAAAGTCTAAGAAGCGGTCAGTAAGAGATTTTAAGCATAAAAAGAAGATTAAAAAGGAAACACCCAACAGATCTCACAAAGGACATAACCTAACAAACACGATGATGGTACCCCGCTGGCGGTAGCCACCCACATGTTATATTAGCATACCGCTATAATATTTTACCAAATGTCCTACTGGACAAATTGTAAAATTTAAATAAATAAATAAAAAAAAAGTAAGAGATTTTGTCTCGCTGTTAAAATGTCGAGCGACGTGCAAGACGCTTCCACCTTACATCGCTACATTCGTTTACAGCTGCGACGTCGTACTCGCCCCCGCTACTGACAATTTCAAGCCGAGTTTACACTGTTTCGCTTTACATGAACACGGCGGATGAACGCTGCTTTCATCTGGTTTCATGAAACAAGAATGAAAGCGGCTTTCATCCACCGCGTTGTTGCCAAGTGAAAGAGCGTAAATTCGGCTTTAACGCCAGTTTCCGTGACGGAAACGCGCAGCGACGAAAACGAGTGGCCGCTGTTTCGCGGACAGGTGCACGTTACTTTACAATGACGTTAGGATCAACGCGTTTAATACACGAAGCGATGCTTCGTGGATAGAGCAGCTCTCTTTCCGAACGTTAGGCTAACAAAATATTCGAATAGTAGACGGTTGTGCTATACTTGGCTCTGCTATACTCTACACACTAATTAATTAGCACGTAGCCAACGTGTATACGTACGTATTGTGTTTCTGTGGCTCGCATTAATTTGCCAAAGCATCGTCGAATGTGCCGTGTCACACGGCGCGCAAAAGCGTCTGCTGCAGCAATATCGACAGTTTAATACGTTCCCTGCCACGTGTACTGTTTCCGAGACACGCTGAACTTTTCATTCGAGTAAAACGACACTGCTGTTGTTAAGGAATAAAGGATGGTAAAACGATCGACAGACTCGTAACAAAAACCACGGAAATTTGTGCAAATTTCTTTGATAGTAATGCATTTTCATTGACGAAAGCGACGAAAGCCGATATCCACGTTCTGGCACAGTACAAACGAACGAAGATTAAATGGTTTTATCGCATAAAAAGCGAATTTTATCAATCTGATGATTGAATTAAAAAGGAAACATAAATGTATGGCAACGTATAGAAGGAATACGTACGTAAAAAATATGCGTCAAATAGATCGAAAATACGTCACGATTATTAAAGTTTTATCACTGTAACGATATCGTTTGTAATTTAAATTTTAATAAGCTATAAACGGGTCTCTTCGCGTCACTTACAGTTAATTGATGAGCTTTATCGTAAGCTTGTTTGCTGCAACGTTTCTCTTATGGCCATCTATCCTGCAAAGTATGATAATAGGCCACGTGTTTTTGTGTCCAAACTTTTTATAGACAGAACATCCATTTTTCTCTGTTATAAACTGTTCAAGATTTATCGACAATCTTTCCCTCTTCTTGAATTCTCATAAAATATCCATTTCCTGCCACCTGTTACGACTTTCTACGAGAAACTTTCACCCCTATTTTCATCTTCCATTCATCATAAACTCTTTTACGCTGCTATTTTAAAGCTGCAACTATCGTGTCTCGAAGATTGATAAATTATTATCGTTGATTGGAAGAGAACACTTATGGAAACGAGCCAATTTTAGCAAACGATTTATTAGAAAATCTAGTAGATACACCAGCGATTGTTAACTTTGTACGTTTAAGGATCGAATAACCGTCGGCCTTCTCATAAAACGTCCCTCGTAAAACGCCATAAAAACATAAACCAAGCGATCCGGCACAAATCGTCCGCAATTCTGCTGATAGAATGGACGCCGTGGGATCGAACGGTTCCCTTTAAGTTGGCAAATTTTCATCGGTGCCGGTGAAAAGCGCGGACAAGATGCTCCCTCGTTAAAACAATGGAACTACGTGTTAGCAACAAGATCGATAACGGTCCGGTTTCATTAATTTCTGTTTCTGTTGCCAACAGCCAAGTGAAATACGACGCCGCTACGTGATACACTTTAGCAACGTGCACGTGCACCGCGTGAACAAAAATCGTTGCGTAGCCGGCGTTTGTAAAGCTGCGGGTTGGCATCGACTATTATACTCCGCTCGTTGCATCGGGCTAACAACGAGGCGCGCTTCGCGTGATCAAGATCTCGCGAAATAGCTGTTAACGAGAAAGGAGAACGCTACGGCGTTGTATTCAGATGGAATTTTGATAAGCGTGCTTCGAGTATCTTCTTCTTCGCTCTGGTTTTATGCGTGGCATTTCCGTGAAATGCATATCACGTGCGATGCTAAAATTAAATCTTGCGATTTGCGATAACATCTGGTGATACGGTTGTCGATAAATTATATATGTTCGTGAAAATATTTGAACGTTTATCATAGAGAACGTTCATCAAGATATTACAGACGTGTATGTCGCGTAAAACATTTGGATATCTTGTTGGAGTCGTAACGAAACGTCGTGATTTTATATTAGCAAAATTCGCAGCCAATTTGAGAACAGTGATTACGAGATACGTGTCATCCTACATCCCACTGACCTCGCTAAAGAAATAAAATAGTCAAACTGGTATCCAGCTGGGGATAGCCATCCGCATGTTATTTAGCAATTAAATTAGAAAAATTTACCAAATGTCCAGCTGGACAAATTGTAAAGTACAAATGAAATAAAAAAGAAAATTCTACAAAGAAGACTAAAAAGAAAACACTCCACTGACCTCAATAAGGAAATAAAATAGTCAAACTCGAAGATGGTATCACGCTGGGGGTAGCAATCCACGTGTTATTTAGCAATTAGGTTAGAAAAAATTACCAAATGTCCAGCTGGACAAATTGTAAGGTACAAGTTAAATAATAAAAAATTCTACAAAGAAGACTAAAAAGAAAACATCCCACTGACCTCAATAAGGAAGTGAAATAGACAAACTTAAAGATGGTATCCCGCTGGGGGTAGCAATCCACGTGTTATTTAGAAATTAGGTTATAAAAGTTTACCAAATGTCCAGCTGGACAAATTGTAAAGTACAAATTAAATAATAAAAAAAAAGAAAAAACGTGTCATCTTGAAAATACGCAGTGTCCCATTTGAAGCGCGCAATTATTAATCATTGGTCGTAAATCTTCTCTAGGTGAATGCGCTTCCGAAATTTTCAGCTAAAACTTTGTTTCTTTGTTTTCTTTTTGTACGGAATTGCGTGTTTTTGTTCAGGTAGGTAGGTTGTAGTTCGCACCGTGACGAATTCATCCGACTGTAATATGTCTCCCGTGTCAGATGCCAACAGAGGGACGAAAATGTTCGGATAATGGAACTCTGGAATAGTAGAACGATCTCTTCTCTCATTGTTAAATTTTATTTGCTCGGGCAGACATCGTGGAAATCGTCAGTTCGTTTTAATATCCGAGAACTTCGTATTTCTCTACTGTCACGCAGATTATCTGTGAACCGTTAGGATATCTGAAAAACTATAAAACATACGAAAAAATGATTGAAACGAATATAGTAGCGTATGAAGGGACGTGTATCGTGCTGTTATTTATACGATCTCGAAGTGGTCCTGAAATGCCCAGCGATCCTCACGTTCAAGTTTTTAAATTCGTTTTAATATCTGAGAACCTCGTATTTTTTCATTGCCGTACGTTTATCTGCGAGCAGTTAGAATATCTGAGAAACTATTCGGTCGTTCGAAAATTATCTTTCGTTTTATAAAGAAATAATGGATGCACAACATTTTCCATTTTATATTATTTTATCGAATTACGTATGATCCATTTTCTTCTATCAAAATAAAGATCACAACGTTCGACAGATTAGAATTCATGTTCGTATAAAGATGCGTCGTTGTAAAAGACGTGTCTGTAACAGAAAGACACTTTTCCGACAACCTAATATAAAACACACGAAGAAATGATTCAAACGAAAGTCATGAAAGAGCCCCTATCGTGCTCGTATTTATACGATCTCGAAATGGCTCTGAAATGCCCTGTGGACATTGCGTTTAAGTTTTTTAAATGGATCTCTCTTATTCTTTGTGCCGTTTGTCTTGCAGCTGACGTCAGGA